CCTTGACCTCGCTAGTGCTGTAGCCCTCCTATTATTTTCTTGCCTTATGTTTGTTTCTTCAGGCCTTTCCCTTGCTGCTGTTCTAAATATTCTATCCCTCTCTCGTCTCGTCTCAATTCTCTTTCTTCGGATGTTTCATTTGCCCAGGATAATTCTCCACGTTTTCTATCACTTGCTCGTCTTGCACACAAACATTTCTTTTTTCTTGGTGGCTGAGGCATATTTTCAAGAATCTTCTAGAAAATATTCTGAAAACGCAAATAATAATTAGAGCAATTTTATTACTTTTCTCTCAACATATGTCCAGTACCCGAGAAAAATATTAAATTTTAAAACTGTGCAGAATTTCGCTGTGCAGAACAACTTTATTAAAAAAAAAGCAATAAAAATGTATATATATAAAAAAATTACAGTGAACTAATCAGTATCCCTTAATACAAATATTAATTATCCTAATAAATTAATTAACCAACTTCCCTTTGCAAAATCTTAAGAACTCAAATGGTATAAAGGAGGTTAAGAACTTTCCTAAAAAAACCACTCAGTACTTTTCAATATCTTAAAAACAGTGAAATGAGCAATGAATAACATAAAAGAATACAAAAAACAAAAAATTCTGAAAAAGAAATTATAATTAATGATATTTATCTTATATTTTCGAGAGAAAAAAATTACAATGAAATAAGCTATATCCCTTAATACAAATATTAATTATCCTTAAGACACAATAACACGCCGAATAAATACTAATTCAGAAGTCAAACAACAAAAATCAGTGTTAGCGTTGAAAATATAATGCTGATTTTTGTTGTTTGACTTCTGAATTAGTATTAATTATCCTAATAAAAAAAATTAGACAACTTCCTTTGAAAAAAAAATCATGAAAAACTTTTCAATATCTTACAAGCAGTGAAATAGGCAAAAAATAACATGAAATAAACTCAAAAAACAAAAAATTCCGTGCATAATTTTACTCTGCAGAACAACTTTATAAAAAAATCAATCAAAAAAAATGTATTATATAACTCATGTCCATAAATTAAGGATAATGCAAAATCATGCAAAGAAAGAGAAGCAAAACAAATTTGACTTATTTATAAAGCTTATTTATTAAACAAAAGGTAAAGAGCAAAAAAAGATGCTATATGTTTGATATTATTAAAAAAAATAGCGATTTTTTCTCCCTGGAGCAAATTAAAAAAAAAAAAAACCATTACATGGTTGGTATGATTGTTAATACATTGTATGTCTCCCAGACGATGCAATACAGTCCGTACAACACCTAAGCATGTTGAGTATCAAATTATCGATCTGATCTTGAGGGATATTACATCACTCAAAAAGCAATACTCTCTGAAGTTCCGGTAGACATGTAGGAGGAGGTTGACGGGCTGCAACTCATCGGCCAAGCATGTCACACATGTTCTCTACTGGATTCCAGTCCGGTGAGAATGCTGGCCAGTCCATACGGGTGATATCCTCCGATTGAAGGCGTTCGCTTACAATGTTTGCACGGTGAGGACGGACGTTGTCATCCATAAACACAAATTGTGCGCCCATGGCGCCCTGAAACAAATGTACATGTTGTTCCAGAATGACGTCCCGATAGATTTGGCTTGTCATGGTTCCAATTTAAACATGCAGGTCAGTTCTGGAATCCAGAATAATTCCACCCCAAACGAGCACTCCTGCACCACCCTAACGGTGTCGTTCAATGATGTTTTCTTGGTGGTAACGGGTACCTGGAGCTCTCCGGCAAGAAAGTCCGGCGAGAATCAGACTGCAAGCTAAACCTGGACTCATCAGAAAACATCACACAAGCCCACTGTTGCGGTGTCCACAATGCATGCTCTCTACTCCAGGCTAACCGCAGGCGACAATGAGTTGCAGTAAGTGGAATGCATCTGACAGGTCTATGAGCATATAGACCAATCTGCCCTAAGCGTCTGTACACGGTCTGCCTTGAAATTGTTGTACCAGTGGCTGAAGAGAGCTGACGAGACAGGTCTGAGGCTGTGCTCCGCCTGTTTCTTTTGGCAGTAACTGCCAGATACGTTGTTTCCTCATTCGGCGTTGTAACTCTGGGGCGACCTGTGCTGTAACGTCTACTCACATTACCATCATCTTGGAATCGTTGGCAAAGCCTGGAGATGACACTCTGGGCAATTCCAAGTTCGTCTGATACTTCCAGTTGGGTATGCCCACATTCCAGACGGCCAATAATTCTACCACGTAAAAATCCTCCAAATGCGTCCTTTGTGTCATAACTATTCGTTTATTGCACTGAAATGCTTATAAAGCGCCTGCAAACAATTTTACTTCTTTGCCTGTATTCCTTATAATATCACTCTATTACATTCTCATCATTGTGATGTACTATCGGTGTCATCTGGTTACTTCTCGAAATTTGCATATAATTCTTGAAGATGTATATGATTTTACAGGTGATATATTTATTTTAGAGTTCGAATTCCGCGTGACTCCGAATTATCCTTAATTTATGGACATGAGTGTATAAATGAAAATTAAATATGCCAATCTCTTAAAAACAGTGACATAAGAAATACGATGAAAAATTGTTGCCAAACCCACATTTCTAAAAGAATGAAACTATTCAAAATGATGCAATTTCATCAAAAATCTACCAACAACAATAAGAAAGTAAAATTGTTGCCAAAATCACATTTTTAAAAATGTGAGATGCGAGAAGTGTACTCGGAAAATTTACTTTACTTTAAAATTTTTTTTTAAAATACAAAATATTATTATTTTTCCAAAATTCTTTTTGTAAAAGCAGTCGCAAGGATGAAAGTTTAGCAAGTCCAAAAATCAAAGAAAACTAAACTGTACATTTTTTAAAATAAACTTAAAAAAAAAAATCCCGTTGAAAAGGTGTTAAGCTCATGTTGTTAAATAAATTCGTATTTAATCGATTTATTGAAACACAAAATTTATTTTAAGCTCGTAAAATAGCTATGTGCCTACATTTCATGACGATATGAAAATGGAGAGTGTAGAGTAAAATCTCGCTTTCCTATAGCCCGTTATGTCTCAAAATGACGAGATTTCATCACAAAACATAAAATAAAAAAATTCTAATTCTAATTTTGAAAAAAATCGCTTCAAAGTGCACTGGCTCTTTTCTAGATGCACCTATGTACCAAATTTCGTAGCCGTGGGTCTATTAGCTTACAGGGACCAAAAGACACACACACAGACAGACTCTTTCTTTTATTATATGTAAAGATGGCAATGTATTGCACAAGAATGAATGCTGAAGTAATATAACATGTAAATCCATATAATTTCTGCCATTGTTTTAAGATAAATATCATTATGATTATCATATGCAATACAGTCCTCATGTTGTGATTTAATACATAGTTGCATACTTATTTTAAAGTGCTTTAATAATTGCATTTTTCTGTTTTATCAATTTAGGACCACACTGTGGTAGGTACTTTTATATGGACTATGTTAGCTTAAGTGATTATGATTATGGCAAAGTATGTGACCCTACAAAAATATGATGAACGTAGAAAGCATCTTTCCCATAGGATTTCTGATGAAGATTGTAACATTTTTGTATTAGACTTACATAAAAGTTATAAAGTTTAAGCAAACCACAGTGGGATTACTAGTATCGCATCTCATTTATTTTATGAATAAATTTCTCAAGTCTAAGAAAGGCTGAATCTTTAATGTATGTGCAGTCGTTACCCAGCCCATATTTTCCCAATTGTTGGTCAACATATACATCCAGTAACAAAATTGTTTTAAATGATGCAAAGATTCATGTTTGATCATTTTAAAAGTTAAAGACATCAGTTTTGTAAATATTATGAAATCTAATTTTTTTATGCATTGCTCAGTTTCCTACATATGTTTAGGAAAATTTTATGCTCATTATAGAAAATAAAACATAAAAGGTTTGACCTCCTGTATGACGAAAATTGACTGAGATATTTTATTTCAAAATCTGTGATTTTTGGTGCATATTTGCATTGTCTTCATGGAATATACATTCCATGAAGTTAATATGTGCAGTACTCTAACATTTTTTTTAATTCAAGCAGGTTGATGTGCACATGGAGGCAGTATTGGTTTGCTCTGTAATGCTGAGAATTCTGCGATTCTGTTTTTTTTTTTTTTTTTTTTTTTTTTTTTTTACATATCAGGATGCATATGGACACATACATGATCAAGTAAAAAGAGATTTAAGTGTTGAAAACAGAAAGAAAGTGGTGTTTTTTGCTTTTTTAATTTAGTTAATTCATTACTGTTTTATGAAGTTCTGAGTGTTAAGTTATGGATGTTTTTTATGTAAATTTTAATGTTTCCTTATGGATGTTTCTTCCATTTTTAATTTTGTTTACTCATTGCTTTTTCAGGTAATTTTTCAATATCCCACCATTTTCTTTAAATGGCTATTGTTTTTTATGTGTTAGATTGGCGAAAAATTAGTCCCAATGACTTTGTGGAAAAGTTGAGGGGATAACGCAAGAATGCCGTTATTACATTAAAAGCTATTACAGTACAAAGTCCGTAATCCGGACGTCCATTATCCGAAATGATCTATAATCTGGACCTCAAAGCCACAAACTTTACGCATGCGCGTAAAGAATATGCTTACATTACGCAATGTGTGTGTTGAAAGAAATGTTTAATAAAGTAAACAAATAAATATTAAGTTTTTTTTTTTTTTTTTTTTTTTTTTTTTTTTTTTTTTTGTAAAATGTGATACCCTTTAGATCATAATTGCTCTTTATTTCATAAATTACGGTTTCATATTTTTAATTGTATAATTTCTGCATGTCATCTTACCAAATTTAAATTGATGATCTATAATTCAGAAAAACCCCTAATCCGGAATCACCGAAGTCCCGACAAGTCCGGATTACGAACTTTGTACTGTATATAAAAAATATAGTAGTTTTTAATGCTTTTAGCATGAAAACTTGTATGATACGTATTTAATGAAGGATTTATTTTCTTTATAGGTTAATGTTGATTCATATGGAAAGCTTAATTATTATGATTTTTTAACAAAGATATCTGGTTTGAAGAATATATGCGATACTAGAATTTCTGAAAAGTAAGTTACAGTTTTGTAAACATCATAGATGCCATGCATCACTCATATATTCCATCTTGAACATTATGGGGGAATATGTAAGATATAAAAAATATAATGGCTGCTTTAAGACTAATTGGCGACCTTAAAATTAATGATTCTAGATTTTATGCTCTCCCTTTAAGTTCATTTGTTCTCCCAAATTCAAGATCTTTCCATGTTATGTAACACTTGATGCAGATGCCTCTCTTCCAATCAAAATAATTGTAAACCGAAACTTTTCTAACTTGATCTGAAACCTTTAGCTCCCTCCCTTTTTCCTTCGAATTGCGGCATCCACTTACACTTAAGCTTTCCTTCTGCTTCTTAAGCTTTTGCTGCTAGGTTTACTCATCTAAAATAATGTCATACTACCAAACCCGTGTACATGGAAATTATTTCATTCAACTATGATTGAAAAATATCTTATCTACAGAAAGCTGATCTAATGTAAATTATCCTGCAATAAAATTATGTTTCGAAATGGCCATATCTGGAGGTTTTTGGTTTGTGCATTCATCCTTCTGGCTACGCAATAAAGTGTCTTCGGAAACCAAAAATTAAAGCACTGGATTCTTTCTTCTATGCTATAAAACATTACATATATATATAATAAAAAATAAAAGAGAAATGTGTTATTATAAAATTTAGGCTGTTCATGCGATGTGTGCATTGTTATACAACAATTTCAAATTAACTAGAAGTGGACTGTACTAAATATTTTATTCAACAACTTTAATCAAATGCGTGCCATCTTTCAAGCGATGACTTACTACTAACAACAACAGCAATAAAAAAAACTGAGTAAGCGTTTACAGGGTTGCTGTAATGAACATCTGCGCCATGCAAGGTGCCAAGAAGAGAAAAAATGACGTAATCTTACAGTTAAATAGTCTTAATGACTTAACATACTCCTGGCATTGAAGGGTTACTTCAATAATTTCGTGCGATAATACTCATAATAACCTACAAAATTGTACAATTACTACCTTATACAATAATGCAATACGAATAATATCTCTTAATTCAATATAATAATATTCAATTTTCAATAACAATTTTATACACAATACAATGTACAATACAAGTTTTATAATAATAAGCTAACACTTAACTAACTTAGGAAGCTTCTTCTTGGGGTAAAATTGCAATTTTTGTAATTCCACGCTTAATGATGCCCTTTGCTGTCTGTATTTCTACTACTCTAACCTTACCGTCAACTCCAGGAAAAATTCTTGTAATGCGCCCTAACACCCATCTACAAACAGGAAGCTCATCCTCCTTAACTAGTACTAGCATACCTATTTTAATATTCATTTTGTTCTACCTTCCATTTTGAACGCTGTTTGTAGTGTGTTTAAATAGTCCCTATGCCAACGATTCCATATCAACTGGATAAATCTGGTAGTTCGTTTCCATCTTGAGAGTCTGTTTCCAGGTATATCAATTAATTCAGGTTTTACTATAGCATTCAAGGGTCTTCCAATGAGAAAATGACCTGGTGTTAATGCCTCTAAATCATTTACATCGGAAGATAAGGGAGTAATAGGGCGAGAATTTAAAACATACTCTATCTGAGTTACTACAGTTAATAACTCCTCGAAAGTCAACCTTGCATTACCTACAATCCGCTTTGAAGTGATATTTCACGGATTTTATTCCAGATTCCCATAGTCCACCAAAATTAGGTGTCCGTGGGGGAATAAACTTCCATACTATTCCTTCTTCACCTAAATAATCTGCTAATTTTTTGTCAGGATTTCTAATTAAATTGTTAATTCTTTGCAATTCGGCATTTGCGCCAACGAAGTTTTTTGCATTGTCTGAGAAAATGATTGAGCATTTTCCGCGCCTAGCAATAAATCTCTTTAAGGTGGCAATAAATGCGTCAGTGGTGAGATCACTCACTAGTTCGAGATGCACTGCCTTTGTTATAAGGCAAATGAAAAAGAGCTAAATATACCTTATGAAGAGTTCCTTTCCTCTGTCCCTTGTACCTAATAAAAAATGGACCGCAAAAATCGGTGCCGACATGATTAAAGGGTGAGCTTGGATTTACGCGCTCTGCAGGTAATGACCCCATAATTTGTTCGATAGTGACTGGTTTATTTTTACTACAAATTATACATTCATGGGTAATCTTTCTAGTTAAATTCCTACCTTGTAATGGCCAAAATTTCTGTCTCATAAAACACAATAATGCTTGCGAACCTACGTGTAAATATTTCTGATGATAATGCTCAGCAATCAGCTTAGTTAGTTTGCATTTAACAGGCAAAATTATTTGATGTTTTTGTGAAAACATTACATTGGCCCCTTGTAATCAGGCCTCCTACTCTCATTACATTATTTGCATCCAAAAAAAGGGTTCAAAGAAAGTAATTACTTTTATTATTAATGGGTTTACCTTGTGCGAGGGAGTTGTATTCTGAAATAAAAACTACATTTTTGAACCTCTCTTACTAAAAAGGATTCTGCCTCATTTAACTCCTTTGAACTTACTCCTCCTGTTCTTCTCTGTGCTCCTTTCTGTTTTGCACACCTAGAGTTCCAAATGAACCTGAAAATATAACTAACAATATGTAATAATTTTAAATAATTGTTAGTGATATCTAGGACATTATCAATAAATTTTGAAGGCAAAGTGCATAAACAAGCAATGTCAGTTATTTTTCTCAGTGCATTAGAAAATGTATCTGTTTTTTCTAATTGTTCAAAGTCAATGTTCTTGTTAGGTATGACACCCTTCACTCAAGAATGGAGGACCTTTCCACCACAGATCAGCATCATGCAGCTTGTCAAAATTCAGTCCTCGGGAAATAAGGTCTGCTGGGTTCTCCTCTAAAAACGCACATAATTCCACTGGCATGTATGTGTTAGCTCTTGGATCTGCAACACTCCTCGATTAGCAACAAAAGTTTTTAGTACATGCGGAGGATTCTGAAGCCATGCTAACACTATGGTTGAGTCACACCACAGACATATTTTACTGATGTCCAATTTCAATAAAGGCACCACCTTTGCAACAAGCTGTGCTAGCAGTACAGCTGCGCAGAGTTCCAGTCGAGGTACTGTCAGCGGTTTTAGTGGAGCTACTCTGGACTTGCTGCAAAGCAAATGTGAAGATAAATTATTGTGACTTCTACAGCGTAAATAGATGGCTACTCCGTGTGCGTGTTTTGATGCATCTGAAAATCCATGAATTTGTATATCAGAAAAAACTATCCTGTAAAACATATCTACTGACTTTCAAATTGTTGATAGATTGCATTGAATCAATAAAAAGTTGCCACTCCTTAATTATCCTTCGGGTAGCGGATCGTTCCAATCAAGCTTCAATAACCAAAGTCTTTGGATGAAGATTTTTGCTTTTGTTATCCCTGGACCAAGCAGTCCTAATGGATCATAAATGCGAGCAATATCAGACAACACTGTTCTCTTTGTGTAAGTAGTTGGTTTCTTGATCGTTGATTTGTACGAAAAACAATCTATCTTTGGATTCCATAATAATCCTAAAGTTTTGATGCTCTGATCGTCATCGAAATTACTGAAAGAATATTCCTCTTGTCCATCCGGAAACTGCAAAAGATCAGGATGATTAGCACACCATCTGTGCAGACGCATTCCTCCACGTGATAATAGGTTAATCAATTGCGACTGTAATTCTTTAGCCTCTATTAGAGTATGGGCTCCTGTGAGTACGTCATCGACGTAAAAATCCCTTTGTACTATTGGCGCTGCTAACGAAAAATTGTTTTTCTCATCTTCTGCTAATTGATTAAGTGTGCGTGTTGCTAGATATGGTGCGTTGGAAGTACCGTAAGTTATAGTCTTCAGTCTATAGACCTTAACTGGTTCTTCTTCACTACTCTTCCATAAGATGCGTAATAAATCTCTTTGATGTTCTTTAATCAAAATCTGACGATACATTTTTACAATGTCTGCTGTGAAGGCAATTTTATGCGTTCGAAATCTGCAAATAATATCAAATAGTTCGTCTTGAACTAACCCTCCATTCAGCAGAATATCGTTTAACGAAATTCCAGTAGTCGTAGGAGCAGTGGCATCGAACACTACCCTAAGTTTAGTGCTAGGTTTCTCGGGCCTGAAAACCCCATGGTGAGGAAGATAATATGAGAAACTAGAGCTATCCCCTTCATCAATTTCTTCGGAATGGCCTAATTCATTATATTCCTTAATGAAATCTTCGTATAAGTGTTTCATTGCGGGATTGCGAGTGAAGCGTTTAAGTAGATAATTCAGTCTTTTTGCTAGCGTTTTCTCTCGATTCCCTAAAAGGCTAAGTCCTTCCTCCTTAATTGGCATTTCCACTACATATCTGCCATCATCTTGCCTCGTGTGTGTACGAAGAAAGTGCTGTTCACAAAATTCCTCTTCCTGACTTTTCACTTTTTTTGCTTCATTAATACCTTCAATCTCCCAAAACCTTCTCATGTTGTCAGATAAATTATCCCCATTTTCCACAAACCCACAAAAATTATTAACACTGCCTTGCTGCGGCCTGCGTACTGACCCGCTAACGATGTATCCAAAAACTGACTGATGGAGAATCAGGTCTTGCATATTTATTCTATTTGTTCCCAGTAAATCGAAAAATATTTCGTTAGATAATAAAACATGTATTTGACCAGGTTTATAAAACTCTGGATCAGCTAAACCAATGAGTTGCATCAGGAATAACATCAGGCTTAACATCAGGAATGTTTATATATCTAGCAGGCGTTACGCGAGTTATTTTTGGAGCAACAAAAAATTGTAAGGTACGAATAAAATCTCTAGTAGCGTTAGCGATGGTTGCTATAGCTTTTTCCTTAATACTCATAACTGTACCATTGATACCTGAAATAGAAGCGTTTATTTTTCTTTTCTTCAAATTCAATAACTCAGCACCTTGTTTAGTAATGAAATTATTTTGAGAACCGGAATCCAGCAAGGCTCTCAGCGAAATAAATTTTCCATCATTACCCTTAACGAAAATAATTGCAGTTGAAAGTAGAACTTGTTTATTAAAAGAACTGGAAATATTCAGCGCAGTACCGTTAATGGACTTTGCTTGGTTGGTTTCATTAGTGTCACTAACCTTTTGGCTGCTTGCCATTGGAGTAAATGTATCAGCATTTGGAGAAAGATTACTGCTTAATTTATTAGTCTTGTTTGTGATTTGATTCGATGTGCCATTTGCTTTATCGAAATTTTCTTCATTTCGATCAAAATGTAAGAGCGAATTGTGAAATTTCTGACATTTTCTGCATGTATTAGAACTTTTACAGTCCTTGATTGTGTGGACCGAAGATAAACAATTGAAACAAATTTTTTTTTTTGTCTTTACAAATTCAAATCGTTTCTTGACTGTTAGATTTAAGAATTGCGCACATTTCAACAATAAATGATCAGCTTTACAATAAGGACAATTTTTTGAATTTTCTGAAAGTGATGTAAGAGCTTTGGTATTAAATGAACGTTTCGATTTCCCATGCGGAGGTTTGTAATGTGATAGGGTGCGAGCGTGTTCCTTCAAAAAACATGTCAGTTTGTTTAACCGTTCCTATTTCGTCTTTTTTAAGTGACCTTTCCCACCAACACCGAGTATTTCTATCCAACTTTTCAACTAATAAATAAACAATTAACGTGTCTGAAAATTCTTCCACCTTTTGCTCCAATGCTTCCAAGGATCGTAAACATTCATGCACCTTATCGATAAATTTTAAAAGCGACGAAGTAGAATCACTCGTTTGAGGTATAGAAATTAATTTCTTTATGATAGAATTGATCAAATCTTTTTTGTTGCAGTAGCGCTCAACCAACAGATTCCGTGCTATGTCATAATTCGAATCTGAAATTGGAATGGACTGAATAATATTTAAAGCGTCTGCCTTACACCTGAAATAGAAGCGTACTCTTTAAATATTGCAATTTTTGTGCATTAGTTAATTTGCTATTTTTATGCACAACTGCCGAAAATAAATCCTCAAATTCAATCCATTCTTCGATTTTCCCACTAAATATTGGAAGAGACAATTTAGGTAATTTTATATTTTGAGCAGCTATTCCTTTGAGAACGGATCTCAGAAATTTTTCTTTTAATTTTCAAATGAATTTCATCGAGATTATCTACTACATTTTCCTTTTCCTTAATGAATTCGTCAGTGTCCTTTTCTTCACAATGTGCAAATAAAGAATCGAAAATGTTACTTAATTCCTTTTTAAATTCTAATATTTTTGATTCGTATAACTCCAATAAGGAAATATCTGCTTCATCCACTGTAGAATTTACCTTATTTTCAAAACTTTCTGATACTGCATTTTAAACTTTTTTGTTAGCTTTAATCGCTTTCAATTCACTCATCATGAACAAATAAATAATTTATCACTTACCGTGATTGCAGATTTCTCGACAGCAACACCGGAAATGAACGATGACACAGTATCCAATCTTAATTGCGTAATCCATACGAAAACGAAAGCATTCCAAACATTCTATATGAAGTTATCCGTAATACAACCAAACAAAAGTATTACAAATGTTCTAAAAAGTTAATTTTAGCAACGATATCTTTTACCTGTGGCTCGGCAGGCCATAAAGTGTTCATGCGATGCGTGCGTTGTTATACAACAATTTCAAATTAACTAGAAGTGGACTGTACTAAATATTTTATTCAACAACTTTAATCAAATGCGTGCCATCTTTCAAGCAATGACTTACTACAGAAAAAATGACGTAATCTTACAGCTAAATAGTCTTAATGACTTAACATAGGCAAAACAACTACTTTATTTTAATGTAGATTTTAAATAAAGTTCTCCAAACTACGATTTTTTTTTTTTTTTTTTTTTTTTTGCCTAATTTTAAGTATTATAATTATTATTTAAGAAAAAAAGCATATGCTCACTTTTTCAAATGCACAGTGTATATGTTAGGACATAAAGTTTTTAATTCATTTCTATAATTTGTGTTGTACAACTGAAATTAATAATAAATAAGTTAAATCATTAAAGTATTTAAGTTGTCTGTGAATATTGTTATAATAATGGCATAGCAGTTTGACCTATGCTGACTAGTGGTCAAATAAATAAGAATGCTGAACTCTGGTAGCTTAGTCTAGGTTTGATTCTGGGAAATAGGCTAACTACATGAGTATTTTTATGATTTTTCCCATATTTAATATGAATTTGAACCAATTTCTCTGTAAATATGTTCCTTCCCTTAAGCTGATAATCCTTGTGTGCATTGCCCAAATCTGTTAAGCAAATTACATAATGAATTGATCCTATGCGGAAATCATGGAGACTGTTAAACAAGAATTCTGATGTAGAAATGCAGCATATATTGCAAAATTATAAATAATTTTTTTAATTTGTTAATGAATTTATTTTGAATAGTTAAATTAATGTAATTCCTTAATTCCCATATAATAGGAATCAAAATTTAAAAAAAAAAAGTTTTCATTCCACACTTTGACATACATTATTTGGGTATACTAATTTAATGTAATTTTTCTAATATTTAATTTCCATCATTTAAATAATTTGACTTGTTATTATACTTTTTAATTACATGTAAGAAGGTAATAATGATACTTAAACGTAGAGAATCACTTACAAAGCTTTGTTTATTCCTGAAAAGTACCCTTATTTTTTAATTATTATGGAAATGTGTACTAAATCTAGAGGTATAGTTGCTATTGTTAGAATTCAGAAAAAAAGTCGCAAAAGAACACAATTAAATGCATTTAGAATAATGTGCAAAAATGTTTACTTCATTTAATTGCTGTTTAACGACTTCATTAAAATTTATTTATTTATTTATTTTTTAAATTTTTATCATAAAAATAGCAGTTACTCTTGTTATTATTTCAGGTTGCCTGAGCAAATTTCAGTTGATGAAATTGAACTTCGAATCAAAGAAAAGGTATTCTTTTATACAACTTAATTACAAACAAGAAAGGATTTTAGAACTTGAGATTAATGAAAGTTTTATTCTTTAATACATATTAAAGTTTTTGTACTTATATTCATTAGGTTGTAGATCATATATTATTGTTAAACCAATATGAAAACTGTTAATGATAATTTCAGAAAACTACCATTAAATGTTAAACATGAAGCTGTTTCATAAATTATGTTCATTTATATTTTTTAGCATAATTTTTCCTCCTGGATGAGGGAAACAATGTTAGTGAAAAAGTTAAGCATCACAATTGGTATCTTCAAAGTGATTTTTCACATCAAACAAGAAAAGTTTTTAAAAAGAAAAAAGAAGCTGAACAATTTTTGAGTACTTTAAAAATTTCAAGATGTATGAAAAGACCAGTACTTCCCTATTATAACAACAGGGTTTGTAGCAGTCCTTATAAGTGCTTATAAGTCCTTATATTTGAAAATAAAATATAAAGGCTCTTATAGGTGCTTACTTTTTCTTTAAAGCCCTTATTTTTTTGTTTTTAGTGCTTATTTTTTGCTTTTAGTGCTTTTTTTTAAATGAACGCGCAATTTTTCCCCATACCAAAGCCGAAACTAATTAAGCAACCTTTCTTCCTAATATGGAATGTCAGATCGTGAATCATACTCCCGGAAATGCTTTTCTCCCTTTCTCTGCATTAACATAACCGGAGAGTACAGACAGGTGCCCGTCGTTCTGTTGGTCAAAGAATTGCCAAAGCAGTAGAAAATTTCGGTACATTCGGCATTCTTTTCCTCCCACCCAAATACTACACACGTTTGAATTTCTATCAAGATCTTAATAATTTGCATCCTCGTTCCGCTTGGTCAGTTCATATTCGTGTTTATTATGATTGTTATGCTTATATTATGAGTGTATGTATGAAATGCTTATAATAACATAGTTGCAGTACCTGCTGAAGAACTTCCAAAAAATGGTTGTGTTTTAACACAGATTAGCTTTCTAAGGAATAATATTCGGAATGGCCTAAATAAAGGGAAGGTAATCGAATAGTCAAAATAATTTAATTTTTTTTTTTGGCCAATACATTATACAGTACGAAGATTGGGAGGTTCTCTCCTTCTCCGCAAAATCTCGAATATTGAAACTTTTACAGTTTGCTGCAAAACAAGCAACGGATCTTTTTTTTTTTTTTTTTTTTTTTGTTGTTGTTGTTGTTGTTGTTGTTTTGTCACTTTCCAATCTGGATTGAATAGGACTAAAAGTTCTGCGGTCTACCAAACCCAAGCGAAGAATGATTCTATTCCGGAAATTTAACTTCAGTCTGTTGAAAATTAGAATGAAAAACATCCCAGATTGGTAAATCTCTTTATTAATCAATATGATTGGCAGGTTAAGCGGGTTGTGTCTCTGAATGATAAATATGCTTGGGCACATTGAAGCAAAGGGGTGTTTTCCTTTATTTAGTTCTTTATTCTCCCAATACCTGCAGCTGTTGAATCCGATTGCGTAATATCATGTAGGGAAGAATTACGGCGCACATATTGCGCAATAACTTTTGCGATATTTTGCAGAAATAAATAATTTTGATGTTCTGTCCGAGATTTGTTTATGAACACTTAAAAGAGTTTTACTGTGCTTGCAAAACAGAATATTTTTCTGTTCCGTTGGTTTGTTTTTATATGATGCACATATCGAACTGTCAAAAGCATTTATTTAGCGGAAAAATCTAAAGAACGGCTACAGTCTATCCCCCCTCCGCTCCTCTTTTTCAAGTTACGCTGGACTGTCCGAATATTCGCCAATTTTCAAGTATGGCGGGTAGTTAAGCTTTTACTGTTAAAGGATGACAGCATAAAGCAAATTTCTGTCTTCTGATTTCAGAAATGTTCCTCTTTTTTACTTAAATTACTTTGCTTGCAATATCTGTTAAAGGAAAACTGATATACGATGAAAATTTAGAAAATGTTCTGAATTTAGATTTAAATTAGTTAAATATGAATATGAGTGGGAAAATAAATTGTTTTTATTATTAAGTTCCAAGCGAATAGAATAAATATGCCTTATTATTATTTATTTCCTCTATTTTGAACTGAAATTTCATCATTAAATCGTGTAATATATAGTTTAGTTCTGCATAGTTTTTTTTTTCTCCCATTGTAAACTAGTTCTGTAAATTTAACTGTTATTTAAAATTTTTTTTAAAAAAGTAATTATTTTCCATGGTTGAGGTAATGCTTATTCTCTCTTAATAAATACTGCATTTCTCATATTTTAAATTACGAGTCTTAATTTTTAAGGTTATGCAGTTGTGTATAATGTAATTAGATAGGTGCTTATTTTTTTTCTTAAAATGTGCTTGAAAAGTGCTTATAGGTGCTTATTTTTTTAACTAAAACGTGGCTATGAACCCTGAACAACCATGGCATGAAAAGTGATTTAGCACAATTCTGCTTTGCTGAGAAACAGGATGTTACCAATTTATGTGTCTGCCTATGATTTCTTCAACTAAAGAAATATTTTTTCTTAAAAAAAAAAAAAAAAAATACAGTGCAAAGTTTAAGATTCGGATTTCCCGGGATTTTGGATATTAGATCATCAGTTTAAATTTAGTAACATGATGTATAGAAATTATAAAATATACGATAGTGATTTATGAAATAATGAAGCATTTATGACTTTTGAGGGAATCAAAATTTAAAGAAAAAACATAATATTTATTTGTTTGCCTTATTAAACATTTCTTTCAGTATAGGCAATTTAAGTTGCTTCACTTTTTGTGTTAATACTTTTCCCTATCGATAGACATAATTTCTTGCTCACTTATGAAGCCGTATTGTTCAAGCTCTACAGTTGTCATTTTGAGAATTTCCACTAAATTGAGAGGCGAAATTTTTTCATTCTCATCAACTTTTCATCTGGGTCACTTTCTTCATATTTAGTAGCAATATTTTATAGATTTAGAACCATACTGTAGATTCGGCTGTTCATTACTTAATTGATGATTGAGACATTTTCATAGCAATGGAAAACTTCTATTATATCATCTTCATTTAATACCGCTTTTCCACATTTCTTTGCAAAATCCATTAACTGGAAAATTTCGCCTTTTGTTTGCGATATCTGAAAAACCTTTGAATTCACAGCTATCATCATAAAAATCAGTTAGAATCTGTTTCACATTATTGCCTATTTATGTTGAGACTAGCGACTAATGGCATTATGTTCCACTAAATTTTGTCTTGCTTCCATTTTGCATTGACAAAATTAAGCTATAATTATATTAGTTTAGTTATTTATTATACTTATGCATATTTCCTGCATATGCTTTAGACTTATTTGAGTCCCGAATAAATAAATTCCCACATATACCATTATCCAAGGCATCTCCAGGACCAGCACTGGACATTTTGTTGTTCGGTGTTGTTTCTGTGGGTCTGAAATTCTGTTACTAAGCACCTCCCTAAAATCTAAAAATTTTTCCTGTAATTTTTGCATTTCAGTGCCTTTATTAAATTCTAAAAACTTTGCTATCCCTTAATTTTGTTCTTGGTGGATCTCTGAAATCTGAAAATTTTGCTTATCTTAAATTCTGGTGACAGGTCCGGCTGCACTAACTCTGGTGAGAATTCTGTGTTTATCTGAATTACAAATCAGTTATTCTCAATTCAAACAAGGTTAAATGTAATCTTTTTTCCTATGATTATCATTTGGAAAATCTACTTCTTGCATAAAGAAAGAAATTTCTTTAATATTTCTCCTTATCGACACACTCAACATTTCACAGCTGTGTTAGCTGAAGTCTGTAATCATTGCCAAGCATGTGATGTCAACATAAGAAGTTACCATGTTCTTGGATATACAATTATGGTAAGATCCCTCTTAATGCAAAGTATACATTCCATCAAAGTAGAGCATAATATGAAACAGCATTAAACAAGGTTATCTCATCATGTAAATATTGGGGATAGGGGAAGATAGGTAGAAAATTGGTCAGGTATTTTACTGTTAAATTTATTAATTATGTTTTTTCAACAATAAAACAAAAATTTATTTTTTACAAGTATAGAAGTATAATAAACGAATATTCATATAAAAATAAATAAAATTCTAAGTCGGTATGTTTACATTTCAGATCATTCAGTCTCCTCTGTATTTCCAATTTTCTGTAAGTGTATAAGGCATCCATAACACCCCGTCTTGCCTTTGAACTCCTGTTAAAAGTTGGGTCATTTTCACTAAATTGGTCCATAATTTCTGTTATAATGATCAAACTGGTTTTTAGAAACTCTGTTGAAAGTTCTTTTTGCTCTTCTTCAGAAATCACTACTTTCAATATTTTTGTGTTCTTCTTGGTCCACTAATTCCTTGAGCTCATCATTAGAAAGACTTGCTGCTGTTTCTTGCACTATTTTTTCGACATCTTCCACATTTACCTGATATAAACAAACCGCTTTGTTTTGCTAATTCCACTATTTCCTTCATATCGACAGAGTGTCCAGTGTCTCCGCCCTTGCTGCTTAGATCTAGCCAAATGTTCTTTCACTCCCCCTTTCAAACATTTGTCTGTTACTGCATTCTAAGAAAGGTTTATGTTTTCTGCAGCATTCATGATATTGTAGTTGTTCCAAAACTCTCTTATTGATTGTTTCTCTTCTGCTTCTGTTTTTTCAAACATCTGTCTAAGTTACAATAACACGCCAAAAAAATATTAATTTAGAAGTCAAACAATAAAAATCAGTGTTATATTTTCAAATTTCACAGGACTAGTTTCGATGGTTTTACCGAACCATCATCCTCAGCTGCAAAAAACCATCATCCTCAGCTGCAAAAGCGCTTTTGCAGCTGAGGATGATGGTTCGGTAAAACCATCGAAACTAGTCCTGTGAAATTTGAAAATATAACACTGATTTTTGTTGTTTGACTTCTAAATTAATATTTGTCTAAATGTTCGAAACAGGTAATAAGCCTTAAAATTTGATATTGGTTGGATTAAGAAAGTTGTGTTA